CAAATGGCATTAACGTTGAGTCAACAGACAAATATGAATTTGGAATGGAACTTGAAATGTTTACGAGAAACGCAGTGGATCTACGATAATGCATTTGCTGCCTTCCAAGAGTTTTTCAAACTTGGACAGATACCATCAGAAGCGTTTGCAAAGTAAAGACACGTGAGTAAGAAATCTTATCACTGTGATAATAACATGTAAGAAAAGTCCGAATTTCTTGTAAAACAGCGACCTTCATTCCATTTCATATTCAGTATTATATTATATTTGTTTTTTACGGATATACTTATTTATTTTAAAAAAAATGTAAAAAAACTTTTTGATATTTCTCTGACAACATGCATGTTTAAAAAATATCATGAAAATATCATAAAGATATTTTATAAAGAATATACATATCTATATGATATATAAAGACAGGTCTGATAAACAATGCATGTTACCTGAGAAATATCCAGGGATTTATTGCTTAAACGTTAATATATTTCCAGACAACATGCATGTCTAAAAAATATCATAAAAACATCTCATAAAAATGACTTTTTTAGAACATACATTTTTAAATGATATCACTTAAAAGGTATCATAAAGAGATCTTCTAGATTCATGTTGTCTGGAATTTATTACCTGCCAATTTTATATCTTTGGCAATAAAAGACAGTTTTTGTAAACAATTGCGTGTAATATAGTTTCCTATTCGAAAGTTAAAAATCATAATGTATTTAAAAGTATAATCTGAATAATGGTTATTAAGAAATATCATCAATAAATCTAATATGATCTGAAAGGAAGATCATTGACCGCATTCAACAGACATAGCACTTGAGAAAGCGTTCAGTAGTTACTATCTACAATTGAAGAAGACCCTCAAGATTTATGTAATAAATGAAGAAGAATGTGTAATTTGTACCTGGCAATAAAAGGCAATTTTTAATTTTTCCAAAGAAAGAAGTATTAGATAACAGAACATATTAAGACATAATGTATACATGTGTTTACACACATATGTACACAGTATGCATATTAGTATATTATTTAACAGCACTAATGAAAATTATTGTAACACTACTTTAAATGAATGATTTGTAAATCATAATTTTTTTCTGAAAATGTTATTTTGAAAAATCGTGTAATATAAAAGAAAATTTTATTTGATCTAAAATATAAATATTATGTTAGAGTCATAAATTTTATTTGATCTGAAATATATATAATGTTAGAGTCATAAAATATAAAAAAGTAAAAAATAAAAAAATATTTAAAAAATTTAGGCATATGTATGATGTTTAAAATTATTTCATTATATATATAATGAGACTGACTAACTGAATATGCCTCAAAATAAAAAAAAACATTTTATTATTTTAAATAATGATTTATATACTTTTCATTGGTGCTGTTAGTTGATAAATATATAATGTACAAGTTAAAATATAAAAAAATTCAATATGTATATAGAAGCAAAACAAATCAAATTCTTGATATAAACAATGGAAAAACAATAGTATAGTAATTCTATATACATATAACAAATGTTTTGTTATAAATATCCAATTCGCAGGTTATAATTTTTCTTGGTACGTAAAAAAATTACATACCTTTTGGTATAAAAAAATTTTATAATTATTTTTTTACACACACTTATAAGAGTTTACAATTTCTAGAGTATGAATTTTTTTCAATTCATAAAAAGTGTGAACATAAAAGAAAATTTATGTTTGAAACATTAGTGTCTTTACATTGTCGATTTGTTAATTTTTATGGATATTCAATGTGATATTAGATATATACATATATATATATTTTATTTATTTATTTATATCTATATCATCACTTTAAAAAACAATTCAAAAAAAAATTTTTGTATTTATGTATCTAAAACTATTTATGTTTTTGAAAATAGATTTATATTTTTGTTTTGTTAATT